TTCTTTGAGTACATTTAAAAAGCACATATATAAACAATATATAAACAATTATAACACTGTAAAAACTGCTAATTTATTTATTTTTTTAATTCTGAGAAAAAAAATCATTGCGACAGTGTCAAATTTTAGATTTTAATTTTCAATTAAATCAATTTTGGAGAAAAAAAAATCAGGCCCGTAGCTACGGTTTTCAAAGAGTGGCTCAGGTCCTTAAAAAAGCACACACTCATCGATTTAATACAATAGTTATTATTAATAAATCTGATGTTACAAGACGTTCTAATTTTGTTGAATTTTGCTCTTTGATTAAATCGAGTCGTCTAAGCGAAGTATTCATAAATGTTATATTGCACTAATTTCTGCGATATTTAATATTAGCGACATAATATTTACACATTATTTTAGTACAACATTTAGGAATTCAACTTGGATATATCTTTGTAGCCTATCAAAGTGTATAAGTCGTCTAAAACATATCAGAATAGTATTATTCATCAGAGATTGTTGTCATAATTATATCGCCAAACCTTGAAGTAATTGTATTTGGCAACATTTTTATATCATAATAGCGTGTTCTAATACAACAACACGAGGCGTTTATACGTTTCCGTATATTTCCGCCCCGTACATGCGAGATAAATTATGTTAACATGCATCATTTTTATGTAGATAAGCGACACTTTTACGTCAATATGCAAAATAATAATTATGTTCATATGCAAGTTATCTATCTTATAAGATAACTTGCAAATCTACATGTATTTTTAAATAAGATATGACCATATAACATATATGCCAGTATCGGACATAATGTAGACATGTGACTTCATTATTATACCCCGCTAGTGGGAGGGTATATATATAGTGATGTCGGTCCGTAAGTCCGTCCGTCGTTACGCTTTTGGGTACCCATCTCCTATCCGCTGAATGAATTTTTAATGAGACTTTTACAGAATCCGTTACATAACGCCATTGTGCACCTCCTGTTTTCCTTTTTGCTCTGACACTTACTTTGGGTCTCCCAGAGCGAAACAGTAAAAACATATGGGAGGCGGGGGAGTATCACTTAGAGAAGTAATAGGTCACATATCCCATAGTTTAAGTAACTATGCAAGATACTAGTAACTATGTCGACATCAAAATTATATGCGTTAACTTGCAAGATAATTATGTTAACATATTTATGTTAACATCCCAAAAATTATATTAGCATGCAAGTTAAAACTTGCACCTTGACATAATTAGGTTGCATGTTAACAAGATAACCTTAAATGTGGACATAAGTAGCCTGTCTACTAATTATTGTGTTCTGCATGTTAACATCGCCTGGCCGCCTCTCATTTCTAAAGGTTTTATCAGAGAGGAAGGATATGGAGATAACGAACAGTATTTGATATCCATAAAAAATACAAAATAGAAGCAGAGCAAACACGGACCCTCAAAACATCAGAGGTGGGATCAGGTGCCATTGAGAAATGAGCATCCCCTGATGACCTTTCACACCCGCCTTGTGCTCATTGTCATGATCGGGAAATAACGGAAAAATCCGTCGTCAATTCAATGTATTAATGCATAAATAATAGACGGTTCATTCTACCTATTCCCACTTTTTGAAAATCAGATAGGAAAGAGTAAGATTTCATGTGGGAATAGGTGGAATTTTTTTGTAAACAATAAATTAACTATGATTACTATATGTAAACAATGATCAACAATTATTAATGAATACCTGTTCGAATAGAGGACTGATGTAATTACTTTTTAGAATTATAAGACTGACTTTTTTTACTATAATATTTGAAAGAAAAATTAGTGTATTTAATCCTTCTTACAATGTTTATTTCAAAATCAAGCTATATATTTCAATGCCCCACCCCTCCCGATTAATATATTTATTTTATGTTCCAGAATTAAGATATGAAAGTGCTTTTTCTTGTAAGGCTTTTTATGCCCCCGTAAACGAAGTTTCGGGGGTATATAGTTTTTTTCGTGTCTGTCTGTCTCTCTGTCTGTCAGTCTCTGTGTTTGTCTGTTTGTCCGCAAAAACTTTAACCTTGTCCATAACTTTTGATTTAGTGGAGCTATAACTTTCTTATTTCATATGTTTATTCCTTGTGAAAAGACCTTTCTTTGGATAACACCAAATCTGACCTTTTGACTTGACCTTGGAGTTTGACCCAGTTTTGAATAAAATTTTAAAATTTTACATTGGCCATATCTTTTAAACAGTAGACACCCGTACATTTATACTTCACATATGTAATATATGTTAAAAGATCTTTCACTGGATACCAACGACTTTGACCTTGACCTTGTAGATTTCCTTACTTGTAAAAAAACCTTAACCTTGGCCATTACTTTTGAACAGTAAAGGATAGGGCTTTCATACTTCATACATGTAATCCTGAAGAGAAGACCTTTCATTGGATACCAACAACTTTGACCCTTTGACTTTGATCTTTTAGATTGACCTACTTTAAAAAAGCAAACCTTGACCATAACTTTTAAAGAGTTAGGGCCAGTGCTTTCGTACTTTACATATTTGATCTTTATGACAAGACCTTTCATTTGATAATAATAACTTTGACCTTGACCTTGGAGTTTGACCCATTTTTACATGAAAATTTTAAAATTTTACTTTGGCCTTATCTTTTGAACAGTACACACCGGGACATCTATACTTCACATATGTTATGTTTGTTAAAAGATCTTTCACTGGATACTAACAACCTTGACCCTTTCATGCTGTACAAAAGTATTTTATATGGCAAGACCTTTCATTTGATACTAATTACATTGACCTTGACCTTGGAGATTTTTGTAATTTTTGTAATTATTAAAAAAAAAATTTAACATTAGCTTACTTTCAAATTTCACAATTGTTTTTCAGTGAGAATACCCTATTTTTGGTACCAATTAATTAAATTTGCATTTAAGAAATGCTTAATCTTTGCTATGTTGCCATACTGGGGCATCAGTGTTTTACAAACACATCTTGTTTCTTTATTATTTTCTCAAAATCATATATTTCATTGAAATGATTCATATTTTTAATAAATTTATTCCTTATTTTCTGTCTTAAATTGTACAAAATACAGATAAATCTAAGAAGGGGTGTAATTAGTAAAATTACTGTAAAAACAAATTTACTATCTTATCATCTATTGTTATATGAAAAACGTCAGTCAGCACTTGACTCAATGATAAATTGTATTCGCTGACAAGGTCATTGTATCGACCATAGAACTTACGAATTGATGCCTCTAAACGAGACTGCTGATATTCTTGTTTCATCAACTTGCTTGTCAATAATACACTTTTTTAAACGAAGTTTTGGGGGCATATAGTTTTTGTCGTGTCTTCTGTCTGTCTGTCTCTCTGTCTGTCTGTCTGTCTATCTGTCTTTCTGTTTGTCCGCAAAAACTTAAACCTTGCCCATAACTTTTGATTTAGTGGAGCTATAACTTTCATATTTCATATGTATATTCCTTGTGACAAGATCTTTCTTTGGGTATCACGAAATTTGACATTTTGACCTTGACCTTTGAGTTTGACCCACTTTAACATGAAAATTTCAAAATTCTACTTTGGCCATATCTTTTTAACAGTAGAAACCAGGACATTTATACTTCACATAAGTTATGTTTGTTAAAAGACCTTTCACTGAATACCAACAACCTTGACCCTTTGACCTTGACCTTGTAGATTTCCGTACTTGTAAAAAAAAACTTTAACCTTGGCCATAACTTTTGAACGGTAAGGGATAGGGCTTTCATACTTCATATATGTAATCCTTGTAAGAAGGCCCTTCATTGGACACCAAGAACTTTGACCCATTGACCTTGACCTTTGAGATTGACCTACTTTAATAAAGCAAACCTTGATCATAACTTTAAAAAGTTAGGATTAGTGCTTTCATACTTTACATATTTGATCTTTATGACAAGACCTTTCATTTGATAACAATAACTTTGACCCTTTGACCTTGACCTTGGAGTTTGACCTACTTTTTTAAAGAAATTGAACGTTGACCATAACTTCTGAATGGTTTGGGCTAGGATTTTCATGCCCTACATAAGTATTTTATGTGGCAAGACCTTTCATTTGATACTAATTACATTGACCTTTTGACCTTGACCTTGGAGATTTTTGTACTTATTCAAAAACTTTAACATTAGCTTACTTTCAAATTTCACAATTGTTTTCCAGTGAGAATACCCTACTTTTGGTACCAATTAATTAAATTTGCATTTAAGAAAAGCTTAATCTTTGCTGTGTTGCCATACGGGGGCATCAGTGTTTTACAAACACATCTTGTTTTTTTAGAAATTGTTCACACTTAGAGCATGCTCTTGCGTATCGAATCAATTGAGATGTATACACTCCGTATGCAGATGATGAAGGTATATTGCTGCATAAGTAAGGGAAGTTGACGATAGAAAAGTCAAGGTTATCATGTTTATCATATAGCTTGGTTGTTAGTTATGATATAGTGAAAATGTACGTCAGATTTGTAGGAGGGCATTTCTCAACGTAGTATTACCCGTTATAGGAAGGATTTTATACTGTCGAAAAATGATCTCTCTTGAAAAATATTGACCCAGGGTCATTTATAACGTAGAAATTCGATCCTTCGGTCAATATTCTACAGGGTCACTTTTCTTTGTTGCAACAGCGACAATGAAACATAACAATGCTAACTATGAGTTATTTAGCTTCTTAAAAAGGTTAGTAGGGGAAATTCTGGAAATTTCAAAAAATACACCCGAATAATCCAAAACCTAGGACTTGAGTGATTGACAAAGATGAATGCTGTTAGCATGTAGAAGGGCTTCGATCTTTATTCTTTAAATTTGGTTATTGAACAAGAACAAACATGTTCATATCTATATCAGGTTTTTATTTATGGTCATATAGTGAATTTCGTACATGACAAAATAACGACCAATCTTCGTTTGCGTTTCATCTCCAGTAAACAGTCCTATACCATAGGTACAAGGACTCCACCTGGTGATTTTTTTGTCGTAGCTGGCGCTTTTGTCGTTGTTGGTGCATTTGTCGTTGCTGGTGCTTTTGTCGTTGTTATGTTTCTTGGTGTGGGTATTGGTAATTCATCATATTCAACGTCACACAACTCTATTTGAAATTTGTACTCGTCCGCTGGATCTACGCCGCTAAAAACGAAAAAAAAAAAGAAAGAAAGAGGAATGATATGCGGATAAAATAAAGGTAAAATAAAAGTATAAAGTCTCTTTTCGTTTATGTATTTTATGTTATTAATTCAAATTTGATACCCACACAATTAGCTTTCTCAGGACTTTATCGAAGTGCATGATGTCAATATTTCTTCTGTAAGAGAACACATTACGTATCCTTTCACATTTAACGAGTCGTTGTCCTGTAAAATGAATTTCATTTCTTATTTTAAAAAAAAGAGTAAATAGCAAATATAAACCCCGGAAAACGTATTCATTTACATTTATAACAGTCACACTATTTCTAATTTCACTTATATGTTAACCTTGTTCATTTTTTTTTAGATAAGAACAATATAATTACCTTGTTTTTCGCAGCACTCAGCTATCCTCTTTGGATAGCCGCCCTGTAAATGATAGTGTTCACCAAATAGGGAGCAGTCGATTCCATTAGTGGCATCTGTCACAAAAAGTAAGGTAATGTAATAATATAATGTATGTTGGGTATAAAAACGCTTAAATATCATTCACTGGACCTTTTCACACATAAAAAAATAATAAATCCCCCCCCCCCCATCTCTTTCTACGACTTATCTCTCTATTACATTATTTTATAATTTTATGATAAAATTCTAAATAATTATTTCAGAAAAAAAAATATCTTTATAAAAAAAAAATTACAGTGTCGAAATTTTAGTCGTAGTCGTACGCGTTGGGCCACAGGAATATGAAACATATATGGCGATAACAAACAGTATTCAAAAAGGTTTATCCTTTTGTAAAATTTGGAATAAAAATTCTCGACAAATTTGTAATCTGATATGACATATAAATACTTGCATTAAAATTTGTAATTTATGGAAAGCCGTAGGGTACCCCCACATTATTATTATTTTTTCCTATATAATTATACCAAAAATAATTATCTCATCCCAAACTGAAAATCTTGTTTTTTACAACATTATTATTATTTTCCTGCAATAATTATAATGTTGTCTGTTAAACTGTACACATTATTTTATTTTCCCCAATTATCATTATTTACACTTTACAATGATAATCTTGCCAGTCAATGTGGACACGATATTTTAAAAAAAAAAAAAAAAAAAAAAAATTAATATATTTTTTTATTATTATTTTTATTTTGTACACATTTTTTTTTTATTTTACTTCAAGATCATAATTATTCTTATTTCATCATTTTATAACAGTGCATCCCTGTAATAACAATGTAGTGATTGAAAA